AGTTGGAGTCTCACTCCATTGCCCAGGCTGGAGTGCAGTGGCACACTCACGGCCACCCAAGCATTTTCCTGCTGGGCTCTGGCAATCCTTCTGCCTCAGCCTTCCAAGTAGACAGAACTATAAGTATGCGCCACCACACCCAGCTTTTATGTATTTACTGATAGTAGAGACGGGGTTCTCGTCAAGTTGCCCAGGCTGGTCTCGGACCCACGGGTTCAGGCAATCCACCCACTTTGGCCTCCCAAAGTGCTGGAATTATAGGCTGAGTCACCGAGCCTGGCATACCTTATCTTTAAATGACCCCAGAGTTGCCTTGTTATTTCAACTGGATAACGAGCTTACTTTTCCCTCACTCTATGTAACTTTAAAACCTAATTTTGTATTGAAGTTAATATTCTCACTGGAAATAAAACCAGGCAGTTACTGTTTTTATTTGCTGAATTGTAAATATTTTTGAAGCCGGGTATGGTGGCTCATGTCTATAATCCCAGCACTTTGGGAAGACGAGGTGAGAGGATTACCTGAGCCCATGGTTTCACGACCATCCTGGGCAACTTGGCGAGACCTCATCTCTACAGTAAATCAAAAAATTACCAGGCTTGATGGCTCATGCCTGTAGTTCCAGCTATTACGAAGACTGAGGTAGAAGGATTGCCTGAGTCCAGTAGATCAAAGCTGAGGTGGCCATGAGTGTGCCACTGCACTCCAGCCTGGGCAACAGAGTGAGACTCCAACTCAATAAACAAACAAACAAACAAATACGTAAATATTTTTGAAGACAAATATTAAATCTTTAATTAAACCCCTTGTTAAGCAGTCTGAGTTCAGTCTCTTTAATCTTTCCTTCTAGATTTTATTTTTATGTACTCCATTCTTTACAGTTGGTGATTTCTGAGTCCTCTTTAAGTTTTTTAAACTACTTTGTATTAGCAGTTCCCAAATTAGATTATCATATTCTAGCAGAACTTCCTATATGAAAGGATTTCAGGATCATCTTTATGAGTTTTGCAAATTTGGCTGATAAGTGGTGATGATGAAAATTATGATTATACAAGCTGATGTTTATTGAACACCCACTATATACAAAGCCTTAACTAAGCATTTGACCTGCACTGTTTCTCCCTGTTCTTTACACTAGTCCTATTATTGCTTTTTGCTAATGAGGAAACTGAGCTCAAAGAGATTCTGGTAAACCAAGTACTTGTGCTAGATTTCAAAACAAGATCTTTGAGTCAGAACCTCCAAATTCATAACTTTTTATGCTTTAGTATATAACAAAAACACAATATGCTTTTGAATTTTGGTTTCTCAGACCAGATCCAATCTGTTCACTGCCTAATTGATTTTATTAGTCCGAATTTGTCTGTTCACTAGTTATAAAATTTTGAATAAGTCAGGAAACCTCATTATTAGAAAGTTTCAAGTCAGCTAATTTATTGACTTCTACAAATTATATTCAATAAAATAGGGTAGAACTTTCAGTGTATATTCAAAGACAGGTAAGTGAAAACCCATGTAGGTGGACCTTATCCCTACTAATAGGAATAAAACAAATTTACCCGTGTAAGTGCAGTACAAATGAAGTTAGAACTGTCTGAATGGAGGTATATGCGGCTATAGAAGATTAAACAACAATAACAAAAAATTACATCTAACTAAAACTATCAGGAATGGCATTGTGGAATCAATAGCATTGGAAAGGATCAGTGATGAATAAGTAATTCAGATAGACATAATTGATGCTACACTATATGAAGGAGCTAGCAGTCTTAGTGGTCTGAAGACTACAAACATTAGCAAATGAGGAAAGCTTAGTCTAAGTTCAGCAAGAAGTTTTGTTTGGTCAAAATATAAAATTAACGTAGGAGAATAGTAGCCAAAAGCTGGAAAACTTAGTTTAATCAATGACATGAAAGGACTCAAATGCTAGACTGTGGAGTTATTTACTCAATTTTATGAATATTGTGGTGGTGGTGGTGATTGATTATATTGATGTATGGGTGTGCAGTAGCTGGAGCTCTGCTTCAAAGGTGGAATCTGACAGAGGTATTGGTAAGTAAAAATCAGAATGAGGGAGCTGGAGGCTTGGATAATTCAGATGGGAGCTTGTAAGATCTGGTTTTAGAGTGGGGCCACAGAGATAACAACTAGAATAGAAATAGTTGCATTAATAAGGAGAAAAATCTGAGATCATAGTTCAGGCAACCTGATTTTGAAGTGCTTATGAGACATACTGAAGTGATGTAGAATTCAGAGGTAGATGAGTATATTTGATAATCATGAGAATATAATGAAGCCATGGAAATGGAGGAATTGCCAAGAGAGAAGGGGTAATGTGACAAGAAGTAGAGCTAGAAACATACCTCTTCAGGAGTCAGGGAAAGGATTGTCAGTATCCGACAAAGAAGCAACTAGAGTATGCTGTGTTCCAAAGTCAAAGGAGAAAATCAAAATGACTTCAGGTAATTCTCTATCTCTGCCTAAGAATCAATAAGGAAAGAGCAAAGGACTAACATTTTACTTACACATCTGTAAACAGTGCTAATCATTATACAGTTCTGAAGTCATTTGGGAGTACAGTATAAATGCAAAACTTGAAATGGTAGAGAAACACCTAAAATCCTAACACAATTTTCTATTCATTCCAGGTTAGAACTAGTAGGTGGAAGGAAAATAAAGTTCCTGTTTTAGAGATGTTGTTCTTTAAACCAACGTATGCTTAGAATCCTGGAATCTAAATGTGAGAACTGAAAAGATCTTAGTGATAATCTACCAGCCTCATTTTATACATTAAAAATCTTAAGATCCAAGAGACACAACTACATGGCATAGCTGTTTTCTGAACCCAGATCTGCTGATTTCTACTTCAGATGAATTTTTTCAACGTTACAAACCACCTTTGCCTACAGATTTCTAAGCTTTTTTTCCAAACCAAAATTTGACAAATTCTCTCACTGACATAAAGATGAATGGCAGCACATGGATCATCATTTTCCATTATGAATCTGTTTAGGGTTTCAGTCACCCATGTGTATAGTTCTACATATATTCCATTACAGTTTTTTATTCCTGATGGTTTCTGTCATCTCTGTGGAGGACAATTCCTTATTCTATGTCATCTTTCTGGAACCGTTAGACAAAAGTTTATAACAACAAAAAACAGACATTTCCAGGATTGCAGCTACACTTTCCTTTCTGAAAGAGGGACTTGGCGTAATTAAGGGAATAGAAGAGGACAAGTGGCATCTTGGTGTCAGGAAATTTTGTGATCTTGTGATCCCAATGTTGAGACCTAGAGTAGATTTAGATGAATAGACCTGGTGCTGGAAGAGACTGAGTCAGAGACGACAGCAATTTCACTTACTTTGGCATTAAAAATTCTAAAGAAAACTCTGGAATTTGGGAGAAGGCAACAAAAGGAACAACAACATCTACCATATTCGCAGTAGCCTAAAACACAATAGCAGAGGTAGGAAGGGCTTATGTGTTTTATACTCAATTAGTATAACTAAAAGGACTCAAATACCAGTGGCTCAGTGGGGTTGTATTTTCTATCCTCAGATGTCTCTGTCCTAGATTTTCCCTAGTAATGAACTCAAAATAGCAGAATCCCATTGGGTTAACTGCTCCAAATAAAAGAAAGAACAGTGAAAAATGATCAGATATTTTTTTTTACCACAGCTAGAAAAATCTTATATTCATTCTCATTTAAAGACCTCTTGATAAGTATTGCAAGTCAGTTTAACAGTGCACCCTCTTGTAATTTCACAACATTCTGTTTTGTTGTTGCTTCTTCCTTTTAATTCCTTGATCATTGCTAGGCAACTCCATGTCACGCAGATAGCATTGTTGATTACATTCTCTACCTCCATGTAAAAATCTCCTCCTCTTCACTTCCTTTAAAAAAAGGGTGAACCAATAAAAGCCACATATTTCAAAGGAACTGGGCAGAACAAAAAATTCGTAAATGACAAAAATCTGAAAAGATTATATACCAATTTTTTTAAATGCTGCTGAGAAAGAATTTAGATTTTAGCAGTTACCTTTTTGAAAGGAATTTAATAAGCACAACCTTTTCTTCCAAGTCATTTTTATTGAATCAATAGGTAAGAAATGTCTTTTCTTAAACAGTTTTCTTCTGCGTAGTTAATGAAAATCGCTGTCTACCACACTCTGCAATTATGTTTTCTCAGCTCTGTATTAATAGTGGAATAGTGGAAACAAGAGCAAGATGAGTGGCGATATTATACCCCAAACCAATACATAAGTGCAATTAAGGTTGGAAACAAAATGGCCTTAGGTATTGAAAAATAGATGCATTACCTCCCTTGGGTTCGCCAATGCAGAGCTGGAGAACAGGACTTGACTACCTTTACAGACTTAATGGCTTTTGACTGGATCTGTAAAATAATTCCTGACAGCCCTGTAAGAGTGAATGACACTGAGAAGCCAAGGAGAGTGGGACCACATTTGACCAGAGAGAGAGAAACTGTCCATGTTATTTTAAGTACTGTTGAAAGTAACTCCTTACATATCTTTAGATGACATATTCTCCATGTCTGAAATTCCAGATAAATTTGATATTCTTTTTACCTACAAGTTTGCTTTCTTTACAGAACTAATGGAAAATGCATAGGATCTGGGAGTACTTGGAGTAGACACAGAATCTTTTGTGTTCCTAAATTGGAAGCAATAAGTCCTTTCAGTTGTTAAAGGCTGCAAACTGCCGTTGGTCTTTCTGGTAATTTGGCCCTGTCATCTAACAGTTCAAATAA